TTTCCTCATTTGGCTCCTCCTTTCAAACAGTCAGACAAGTAATGCCAGAATCTTCCACTCCATTTAAACTCTTGATTGAGTGAAGCATTGAACTATCTAGGCTCATTAGCACCTGGGTCCAGCCATTCCAAGCAGTGACTTTCTTGAAATTTTTAAGGAACAGTGTTATCTTCTCATATCATAGACCACATTTAGCAACTAACTTCTTTTTTTGCATGTTACTCCTTCATCTGGAAAATCCCATTTCTAAGTTTTAGGAAGTAGAATATTATGTAAACAATTCCACAATAAAAAATCGTGGGATGTTCATACTCTGTAGTATTTCCAGGTACACAGTGATAACTTTAGAAATGAGAAGTAGCAACCACAATAACAAGAGGTTCATCTGATTTGAAAGAAGAGACTAAACACAACTTGACTGTGAATATAGAAAATTATTTATTTTATATAACTAGATACGAAACACAATTCAGCCAGCTGTGTTCGCAGGAAAATAGACACTGCTTATTCCAGAAATTTCTCTAGTGTTTAAAATTAACCCTCTTCTTCTAGTCTTGTTCTTGTAGATTAAGATTTGTGTTCAAAATTTTTGTAGAATAAGAGATCACGGTATTATATACAAAATTCTTTAATGCCATAGCTCTATCTATATGGAGGCACCACCCATGTCACTGTTAGTCATTGCAATAAATAGAAAATAGGCCTCCCAGTGGCTCAGTGGTAAGTCTGCAGGCTGACACTGCTAAAAACTGGGTTTAGATACTCATGGTGGACACAGCACATATAGCCCATTGTGTAGCTTTGTGTTTTAAAACAAACAAACAAAAATAAAAAAGGATACAGCTAAAGGTATCACCTGACCTGCCAATGAAAAGATCACTGTATTTAGTTATGCATATCTGTAGCAATTTTTCCCATGATAAAGTACACGTGACACAAAAGGGAAATGACCCAAAACAATAGGTAACTACAATTTAAAAAGCAGTTTAGCCTGGTCTCAGACCCAACCTTTGTTGTCTAAGCTAAATTTCTCCAAAAATGTATACATGTGAATAATTTTAAGACTTCTTGGTGAATAAGAAATATTTATGTATTTGAACTAGAAAGAATAATAAACTCCTAGTATTTTTACTGCAACAAAAGACCCAATAAAGCTTAGAACTGTCAATGCCTGAGGTTTATAAGTTTTTAATATAAGGTAAAAATTGTTATTAATAGTTTTTCATTAAACTTTTTGACCCAAAGTTAAATATTTGTCAAAATTTTACTTATAGTAAATATGATACTGAAGAAACATAAGATCTTGAAAAGCACCCATTATTTTTCTAAAAATAATAGACCCCCCATTTATGTGACTGGAAAGTTTCAATTGATAAATCATGTTATGTGCATGCCATTTTTTATATAATACATGATAATTGAATTTACTCTGTTGGTAATATGAACAACATTGTGTTTATAGTTACAAAGTAATGCTTTTATCATTATATATATATATTATATTTTTATTATTTTGAGATCTGTTTTTATCCAGGGTGTATTTGTCATTTTAACCACCTGAATCTTCACCCCTTCCATTTTTGATGATTCTTCAATTAACTAATGATCTCATTTTACCACATTCTAAAATCATCAATTGTCAGTTTTGTTTGTTACGCATGCCAAGAGAGATAAAACTTAGTGTCAATCAATTCATCATGTTTCTGGGTACTCTTGAAACACTGAGATGTCTATCATTCCTGTCCATAAAGTTAAATAAAATCTAGAAATTTTGAGATGATAACTCACCTCTTTACACAGAATAGCTATCCTACTCACACATCTATCTATGAGATTTGCATGCCACTAGCCTTAAGCAACCCCCAAATAATTTTATGTGTTTTAACATGAATTGCACTGATGCATGATTATTTCATCATGCACAAAAAAGCCCTCCGCCGATTGAAGAGGCACAAAACCTCCATGTGTAGTTGTACTTGTGATAACTTCATTCTTCTCCTTAGCACTGCATTGAACAGATGTGTTCAATATTTTTACTCTGAGTTCATTTTGATGAGATTTGCATTAGTTAACAAGACTTTGGTTTTCATTTTCTTTGGACTTTGTTTCAAAAGCTTTAACTTATTATCATGAATTCTCAAATGACAGCAACTTATCACTAAGCATGGTAGTGCTTAGTGTGTGTAGGGATGGGCAAAAAATGACGAACACATTTTGTATTGCTCATCATAGTCTGAACTCTCTTTTTATATCAATCTAAGAGACTTTTATAAACACCTAACTTAGGTTTTTTGAGGTTTCAAAAGCTATTAATACCTTCAGTTTAGCCAAAAAACATTGCTCAAAGAGAGAACTGGTGAGTAGCATAACAGCCAAATGTTCTGCTGATTATTCTGATTCTGGCATCAGAAGGACTAGCTCACCAATCCTTGAGGTTGTTGCAATGATTTACACACCAAAATGTTGTATTATAACTTGAGGAGTGCAGAAGCAGTATAGCATTTCACTAACTTCAATACATGATGTCCATCAAGACAACTCATCATGCCAGGCTAAAACTGCTACTTTCATAGTAAATGCCATTCATTATAAAATATTCATTGGTATTAATTAAAAAAGAAGGAAAACAAGCAATAAAAAATTTTTTTGAAAAAATAAGAATGATGTAGGGATGACAATACCAAAAAGTACAGAAACAGAGAAGAGTATGAAGACCATACCATACAAAAATCCCTACATATGAAGCCACTGAGTCAATGTTACAAACTTATGGGAATTAGCCATAGTAAGACTTTATAGCATTATTCAGTTTAAATGCTTTTATCCAAAACGGAATTCATGCAAATGAAAGGAATTGTGCCATTTCCAGTACCTCGGTGTTTCTTTTCTTGCCCTTTCCACTCTGTTCTGTTCCTTTATTTTTCTCTGACCTCCTACTCTAGCTCCCATGCCCAACTGGAACCTCAATATGAATTTGCACATTCTCACATGAGTCCTGTTCAAGCCATTGGCTTCTTGCTTTCTCACCAGACATATTTCCTCCTTCTTCTCATCTGCAATTACCATCATTCAGATATCTATGCTGTAGATACTTCTCACACCCTCATCCACCACACTTGCATACTCCTCTCCCCATAATGATTTTTCCTTCCTAAGACTTCTACTGCTTGGGAGAGTAACCATACTTTCTCTCCTATCTCCAATCCTCTCACCTAGTTGACCTTTTGGACTCAGATCAACTCCTTTGTTTTGTTTAGATTGTTTGGTGTTGCTTACCACGGACTTCTACCTTTTGGGGTCCCTGCCATCATATGTCCCTACATGGGATCTCTCCTTCTACACTTACTGGATGGGTTCTTTGACTCCTTTGGTTTTTATATTCATCTCTGGATGTGGAGATTTGCATGCTATTTCACATTTCTCGGAATTTGATTCATCACCTTTTTCATTTGCTTGCTTCTCATCTTTTCTGGCACTAGGATGAAATCCTCCAGGTGGGCATGTGAACGAATCTCCACACGTTCATCTCTCCTTATCTATACCATCTGGATGTTTTGTCTCCTGCTTAACTTGGACTTCCATTAGTCACCATTCTTGAATCATCCCATCACCATAGGATCCCACCAGGTGGCTAGTCTAGCCTCCCACGGTATACTTACCCAAAATTCACATTGAACCAGGATAACAGAAAGCACTACCATCTGCCCTGGCTCTACCAGTTCCCACTGTGGGATGGTGTTCCACAAGACCACTTGAGGTATCCTTGTGATATAAATATTTACTCAATTGTCCAATCCAGACAGTACCTATTCCATGGATTATTATGAAAAAAGCCAGCACCAGGGAAATGTTTTGCATTTGCTGGCTTTTAAAAATAGGGATTTTCAGTCACTCATTTCACTCTCTCCAGTAATAGACTTATTTAGCTGGAGGTCCAATGGGGATCTGAGCATTTCTCCAGGTCTCCCCAATATAAAATTTTTCCTCCTTTTTCTTCAAGTGGAGCATGAAGACCCTTACCACTTACCAGTTCCTAGCTACTGGAGTGGTGGACCAGGGAGAATCCTCACCAGTTGGGTTTAGCACAATATGATGAGAAATGGGGAGATGGGGACACTATCAGTGTAGTGCAGGTTATCATAACACATATCTATTGTAGCAGAGCTTGTTCAGTACAGTTGAGGTGAGCACACAAGGTATGGTCTGAACATACCTCAACCACACTACACATATTGGCTATTTAGCTGCTTGTGAGCAAGTACTCAGAGATTCTTGTTTTCATTCCACCTGTTTCTGCAACATAGAAGTTTTATTTTCTTGTTTCCCCCCACTTTATGGGCGAAGAGTATATCCTGATCGAAATGAGATTTCAGAGTGGGATTTTAGCTATTCCATCTGTGGAGATAAATTATTATCTCAGAAGTTTTCATTTTCCATACCTAAAAATGTATTTCTGATAGATACCTCTGTACACGTTTCCCACATATTTTGTCTTGCCTCATCATAGAATGAAGTTGTTACGAGTACAAGAGCATAGGAGGAATTACTGCGCATGAAGGTTGTGTCACCCTCCTATTAGTGGAGGGTTTTTGTTGCATGATGATGCTGTCATGCACCAGCACAGTTCAAGTTAAAACATGTGAAATTAGGTGGGATTTGCCTCAAGACTAGCGGCTTGCAAATCCCCAAGGCAGACATGTGAGGAAGATAGCTATTTTGTGTTTGGAAGTGAATATCTCTCAGAAATACATTTTCAGGCATAGAAAATGTAAACTTTAACTAGAGTAAATATTTTTGTGTTAAATTATTTGATTATTTTCTTGTAAGCCTTGATATGACATTTGTTTTTCTCATTTAAAACTCTTTCATATGAATAAACTCCACTTTTCCCTCTGTATTATAATTCAAAAATATCACAACTGCTTGTTATTTTTGTTGTAATCCAATTCTAGAACAATTATATATATATGTAACAATTTTCTTTTACTTATTTTCATTAGGGACATTACATTGGTGAGTCAGTTGGTAAGGGAGAGCCAGGTTACTGCGAACGCACCGTATGTATAGATAAATTATCAAGCTTATATCTCATAAAATAGGAATTCCATAATAACATTTGGGTAATTTTTATAGTATTAGTCTGAACAAACGTGGTGTAATCACAGAGATGTACTTGTAAGGACAGGTTTAGTGATTTCTTTTTCTTGGAACGAGAGAGACAAAATATAATGTGAAATTGAAACAAAAGTAAGTAAGCACTATATTTTTGTAGAAAGCAGGACACAAATGAATAGCTGAACATTCAGTTGGAGGACTTTTACATTATGAAATAAAAGAAGAAATGTATTTACTTGTAAAACGAATGAAAAGACTGAATTTAGATGTAAGTAAATAAAAGTAAACCATATTCAAATAACTTAAAATGGATCAACTAGTTAACTAAAGGAAGAAAGCCCATACATTATCAAAAGACATTTTTAAGACAATAACAAGGATGAGTCTTCACAGCAAGTATTATTACCTAAGATAAGAAAATACTGTAATGAGCTTAACAAATTTGCACAAGGTATGTGTTAGTTAGTCAAATAGAATAAGTCTCATTATAATAACAAATTAAATATTCCATTCTTGTACTTTTCTTTTAGATACTATACAATGAATGGGCACGACCAGCATGCTGGTATAAAACTCAGCCTTTATTTCTCATCAAGTATGTATTTATGTGTGTGTGTGTACATATTTATTGCTGATACAAAAACACATTGTTTTGTTCAAAACATAAAATGGAAGAAAAATAAAATATATTAGTATATTAAATATTTCTTTTAAGAGAAATAAAGAAAACAAATATTAACTAGCATCTACATTTTAAAACATTTTGGTTATATTAATTTTTATATCACACGTACTCAGATTTTCTAATAACACTTTTTTCATATACAAACTGCTTTGAGTATTATTTTCTTATTTTTTCATCTGTACTAGTAACATGAATAACACAGATCTTCAACTTGATCTGCTGATATACAGCACTTTTCTCACGCTTTGAATATTATTTTCTGTTTGTTTTAGTGGTAATGATAGTAAAAGTAACACGTTTACACTTAATGATCTCAAAGCTCCAGTACTTCCAAATTCACCTCCTCACAACATTTTCATATGCATCAACTGCTTTAAGTATTATTTTCTCTGCTTTAAAAGTTGTAATGTTGCTAATTGCATCAAATATTTTCACTTAATGATTTGAAAGTGCCATTATTTCCAACTTTACATTTAAAAGTTAAAGAAAGTGATGCTGTGTGTAGTATTATCACTTTAGAGGAATTAATGGCACACAGGTGAACTAGCCTCACAAAACAAGAGGATCAAAGATATGCTTAGCTAGTATTTTAATGTGATAACAAGTGTAGAAGGGGTAAAACAAACAAGTCTGATAAACACAATTAAGTACTGTTTATTTCACAGGTTTAAAAGATATTAAAGTAAGACAAAGCAATAGAAGTATGAAAAAAAGTATGTTTATTCTAAGTCTACATAGTTTTCACATAATACATCATCAAGAGAGTTGTTAAATTAATTTTCTTCAAGTTGCATTTGTTCCTTTGTCACTCTGTGGAGATAATACCTGTTTTTCCTATGTTAAGAATAGCTGTAATGCTGCATGATGTGCAAGAATGTTGGCAGCCAGTGTCCTTCAGTGGTAGACCAGATAATATCTTGATATTACAGTTTCCCCATATGCTTTAATGGAACTGATAAATAACATGGGTAGTGCTAGCAAAACACAGTGTGTGTGTACTTGCTTCTGGACACTGGACAGTCACCTTTCACTGGATTTGTGACTTGATTAGTATACTGCCTTCCTTCCTTTGGGATGTATTTACTTTAGCCAAATCTATCTAGATCCAGAACACGAATGTTTAAATCTAACATTTCTCACTTAAAGGGAAATGTTGGATTTACCTATACCAATCTTTAAATTATTAACAAGTGTTTTCATTATGTGTTACACATCAATGTCAATCATTTCATTTCTTTGCTCAAACTCATTTATTTTTAGCTAAATTCATCATTACTTCATGATTTATTCTGTGATCCTTCTATTACATAGATCACCTTATACTCTTTGAGGAAATCAGTTTAACATAGAAATACCACAGGCATACACAAAAACTTTCATGAAAATAAAGCATTTTACAGCAGGTCTTGATCCTTTCAAAACTTCTCTCACAATACACATTCTCTCTCTGTACCTCATCAAACACAAATAAAATTGCAAGAATCAAAAAGTACCTCTGCTTCATATAACATTTGGAAATCATTCCTACATATATGGTAAATCAGGACACAATATTGCTATCTAATAAAACAGTAGATAAGTTCCTTGACTTGACTAGCTACAGAAAGTAACACCTCACACTGAATCTAATACATGGCTTCAACCAGATTTAGCATGCTCCAAATGAGGACATTAGAAAAAATTTAAAAGCTTTGTCAATGCACAAAAGATATACAATGGGAAAGTGAGATATGTAGTATTTGCATATTACAGATGTTAAATAAACCTTCATTTCATGACTTAGATATAGCTAGTCTAACACTTGCATACCTTACCAAGTTGAGTTCTTGTTCTCTCTAGCAAACTGACTGTAGAGTTGAAAATTATACATTGATATTATTTTGTTGAAGTACATAAACTAAAATGAATTTAGGCCTTGATAAATCTAGGATATCAGTGACACTAAATTGTTGTTTGGCACTCTTTTCATTCATTAAAAACCTAGTTTTATAGCTAGAGCAATATAATAATGAGGATGTGTTTTTGTGTAGGAAATTTGTCTTACACGATACAAAAATCCATTTAGTTAATTAAGTATTCATAATCCATTTTTGTTGAATAGTTATGTAGTGACATGACAAAAAATTTTACAAAATCTTTTTGGGTCATGATGATCCTTTCAGATTTCTTTTTTTGCCTCAGAAGCTGTATATCTTAAATTAAGTATTACAGCAGTTTCAAACACCTCCTATGAATTAACAGATCTGTAGTTAATATTATACCTTTTAAATTATTTTGGTAAAAATAAGCAAATTTTGCTTTTTAAAACCAAACCAGTTTGAGAAATTTAAAGAGGTTAATTTCGTGAAATACAATTAGGTATTTATATCTGCTATTATTTGTTGTTCTTGCATGATTCAAATACAAAATAATTAGATCTATTTTGATTCCTCTTGGAATTAAATTTGTAATAACTCCTCTAAGATCTTATTATGTAAGTGGTAAAAAGTAAATTGTAATGATAGCCTTTTCTTTTTTTACAAAAACATATATATTTGAGTCTAATTATTGCATTTATTTACTAATAATTATTGATTGAAGTACTTTTCATATCATTTTATTTCATTTGCAGGCGATATTTTGGAGAAAAGACTGCATTTTACTTTACGTGGCTTGGGTTTTACACAACTATGTTGATTCCAGCAGCAGTTTTTGGAATATTGACAATGCTCTATGGCTTTTCCACCATCAAAACATCAAAATCAGTGTAAGCTACTGTGTTAATTAAAGTGACCTGGCATGGCCAGGTGGTTATGGCACTCGACTCGCAATCTGTGGGTCATGGGTCTGAATAACCATCACACTAAATATGCTCGCCCTTTCAGCCATGGGGGCATGATAATGTGAAGGTCAATCCCACTATTTGTTGGTAAAAGAGTAGCCCACAAGTTGGCGGTGGGTGGTGATGACTAGCTGCCTTTTCTCTAGTCTTACACTGCTAAATTAGGGACGGCTAGTGCAGATAGCTCTTGTGTAGCTTTGCACGAAATTCAAAACAACCAACCATGTTAAAGATCAATAAGGAAAATGCAAAATAAATTATGTTATGATGTATAATGATATTTTATACACTTGAAAGTTAACTTGAGATGGAATAATACATTGAAATATAAATACCCACCAGTATATCTTCATATTGATTTGATTCAACTCATTGAAAAGTGGTATAAAAGATATATTTATCAAGTAAAATTAGTTTTTCATACATTAGAATATCAACAGAGCAGTTGGATGATGTTAAACGTCATTTGCATGGCTTACCATCAATAATGGAGAGATGTGTTAGTGATCCAAAATACTACTACACTATTTAATTTTTGCAGTAAAGTTGTTCTTATATGAATCAAATTTACCTGAAAGTTTTATCTTGTTTTATTTATAATTGTAATCATGAGAAATGTGGCACAATGTGCTAGTCTTTCTCATATCTTTACAGATAAAAATCTTAATTCCTATTTTTATGTCACACAGAAGGTTATGACTCAGATAATTTAAACACATTATACTGTAGAAATGTAAATTTTGTATTCCAGTTACTGTTTATTTTGCTTATCATTTTTGTTTTTTCAGCCAAGAGATTTGTGATGAGAAAATCAGTGGGAACATTATTATGTGCCCACTTTGTAACAAACATTGTGGTTTTTGGCATCTGAAAGATATGTGTATTTATTCTATGGTAAGATTTCAGTTGTATGTTTTGGAGTTGAGATATTAGCTTAAATTTTTTTTTTCATTTTAAATACATCTTCATGCTGCTTAGTATATGATGCAAAATGCTATATATCATGTACATAATATGTCCTTAAGTATAGCAGGCTAATTACAAAAGGAACAGTTTTAATGTATCGTATAAATTAATAATTTCATGAGTTTTTAGCTCAAACAGTTTACATGAAATACAAAATATTGCAACACATCAGGAATTGTCAAATTAAGGTAAAAACTTTAATATACTGTATAATTCAGAATGATCATTAGTCCATATTTTGTAATACAATTTGTCTTTTGTTACCAGTATTTCACAATTTTTTTAGCTTTACAAGAGCAAGTCAAGAAATTATAAGAGGATCTAATCCATAATTATGTGGTATGCCATTCTAGTTAAGAAAAATACTGCTTTAGTGGGTTACTTGAATTAATAATGATTATCTAGCTCGAAGTACTCATAAACAGTTAAAGATTATCATCGAAATTAAAAACAAAACACTAAATATAAAATAATTATAAATCTAAGAAGTCAACAAACATTGCTGGAAAATTTTTTTCTAAGTGTTTTTTATCAGCAAAAAATGGTGATTTCTAGTACTGCACCACATGGTACAGTGTCACATGATTATCTTCTCTTGTCATCTATGAATAAATATTTTTTGATTTAGTTTTCTAATCTTTTATAAGTATTTAAAAAATAGTAACAATAACTACAACAGTTTTATTATTCCACATTTATCTATATATAGAGTCTTTGATTTTATTAAATTGTGGGAAGAAATGTTGTTGTATCATAATATAATTTAAAATTGATACTCAGATATAAACATTTTAGTTTGTTGTGTTGTTGTTTGTGAAAACATATTTAAAAAGTATAAACATGCTAAATATATGAAAATCATCATTCAAAATCGTAGTGTATTTTACTATTGCACATTCATGTGTGATTACTCTATTCACATTAGTTTAGAATTTGTTTTTCCATAAAACTATATTTACACCTTGCATGTTATTTCCTGCTTATTGCAGGCAATTCCTTTAATGACAGATCATGTATTATTAATAGAAACACTTAAAGCACAGATGAAATTTTTGTTTCTCATCGATTAATTTCAACACCCTATTTTTGGAAAATTAGTTAAAATAATTTCAACCCATTGAACTATGCAATCACCATTAAGCTACAATGTTAACTGTTGTTTACAGCACAGGGCTGAACCTCCTAACATATTGCTATTAATGGGTCGTGGTTTGTCATATTTATTTTGCTTGGTTTTTGCTTACTCTTGTGGTAAACCATGGAGAAACCTTCAACACAGTTACCTGATTTTTGCAATATCTGGAAATTAAAGGGCCTAGTATATGGAAGAACAGGTGTAGCGATTTGGTACAGTGTTAAGTTGAATGAAAATAAATTTTATTAGTTGAGAACAAATATATAAAAATGGCTGATTGGCACATGAACTGTTACATTGATGATTGTGGAATAAATAGATAAACTATTTGAAATGTAAAGTAAATGAAAAAAATCATATTTAAATGAAAATAAACTATATTTAGAAGCAAATTGAGAATAACATACATGATGAGCAGAAGTGATGGTTAAGAATGTTAACATAAAACCGTTAACAGATCTAAAGATGCAGCTCCAGGTCCAATTGGTAAAAGCATCTCCACCTTCTAGAACCACACAGAACTGAACATGATGAAGTTAGTGTTGGAGTATCATTATTGCTGGGCAATAGATAACATCCCTGGAATATGGACCGATGCAATTACCGAATCCTTACTCAAAACCATGAAGGATCACTCTTATCTTAAAGGCCATCAAATAATCATTCTACAAAATATTATTGGAAGTATTCCAGATAAAGCTGTAACTAGAAGGCTTGCCTATCAAACTGAACCATTATTACCATCATTATTGAGTGGACATTGCAGTGAAAGAGAAACTTGGATCAATATTGCTCAATTCACAGCTGAAACCCATGAAGGCTTTGAAGCTGGTTGTAATACCAAGGCATTAGCTTAAAATCTGGAAGATTCCTACAATAGTCCAGCTGTCCATTCTTGCTGACAAAATGCTCAGAATAAGCATCGTGATTTGTGTAAGATGGGTTGTAGCCCCACTAGCTACCAGAAGATGCATCATGAAACATAGAAGCAGGCAGTCAGATTGGACCACATAAACACTGTTCTATCTCAAGAATCATCATTATTGTCAGTCCTCTTCAACATCTACACTATGGATCTAACTTGCCTTGACAGCCTAACCAGACAATGACAACATTCAGGTATAAGCAGAGGCTCTAGAAAAGCTGAAATCAAAAGCAAGATGCAACCAATCTTTGCCAGCATGATCAAATTGTACAATGAAACAGGAATTGTTATTAATCCTGCCCAGTGGTGGCACTATGTGGGGGGACAAGGATAATCATAAAAAGTGTGAAATCTGTTACTCCTGTGGCTGACTTTTTTTCAATGCTTTAGACTTGCTACAATTTTTAAGGGGTTCTAATGTTCATGCACAGTGGATTGTATTCTTTGTAATTAGCTATATGTAACTACATAACTTACATACCCTGCACACGTACCATTACAACATATGTTGTGTCCTATGTTCTCAAAGATTAATTGGAGAATTTCATATTCATGAATAGATTCTGCATAAAGAGAGTAATGCTGAAAGGAAACATAGGTAAATTTCAATATGAAGGTTATAAAGATATATTTTCACTTACATTCAGTACTAACAAAACTCAGACATTTGAAATTCACAGAAAATATTTTGTTAACATAAGAATCGAAACAACCTTTTGTAAATAAGTTATTCTATCATATACAAGTCACACTAATGAATTGATGATGAAGATCTGAAGCCAGTATTCTATTTTTTTAATTTTTATAAATGGCACCTCATAAATATATTTTAGGATCACATTGAAAGTCATTTATTTCTAGTGATATGGCCTAAACTATATGAAGTTATATTTATGTAGGTTTGCTCATTCATTCAAAATATATTGTAATATTTTACTTAGATCACACATGCCTTTGACAACCCAGCCACAGTTAGCTTTGCTGTACTTATGTCTTTCTGGGGTAAGTCCTGATTTTCCTTGATATGACATTTAAATTCATTCAAATCTTATGTGGAAATTGAAGTATTGTAGCCTTGAAAATTGTTTGTTTTAGTATTGGAAAAGAAAGTGGTGTGTTTTTTTCTTTGAATAATTCATATTTGTCATTGATGTATTTCATTGCTTAAAATTATATGTTTAAAGAAATCTTTAATGTAGTTAATTAAATAAAACCATCATCAGTCCTTAAAAAAAGAGCATAGTACATAGCATAGCAGTTTATATAATCATGTTAACTTAAATCAGTTTTTGGCTGGCATGGCATGGTGGCTGTGGCACTCAACTCACAATCTGTAGGTAATGGGATCAAAACCTGGCACTAAAATTATCATTCTTTCAGCTGTGGTAGCATTATGATGTGACAGTCAATCCAATTATTTATTGGTAGAACTGGTTGCCTTTTCTGTGGTCAGTATTTCAAAATTATGGATGACAGCAGATACCCTTAACAACATTAACATAAGCAAACAAACAAAAAGTAAATTAGTTTTGCTTGTCAGTATTGACAGTTAAAGGGCTCAAAATTTGTAACTTTATACATATGACAATGCAAAAACATTGTTATGAAATAATATCAGTCAATCTCTACAATTCATTATTATTCAAATCAAGCATCTGACAATCAGTCATGTGATGTGAAATGCAAATGATTGATCAGTTAGTAAATGCCATATATAGTAGTTAACAGTTTTGACAATTTGAATGACGATTTAAATGCTCCAAATTCTTCAGGATCATAAATAGACTTCAAAGTACACATTTCAATGTTTTGTGGTACACAAATATCATACATATCACTTTTCTAAGTTGTATTTAATATTTTCAAAGTAACTTTAAACCTTTAAAGTTCTAGTTTAAAACATTCTAAATATTTGGTCAAGGTATTGTGCTAATTCAGATCTAAAGATTACTTTCTATAGCAGGGTTCATTTGTGGAAACTATCTGCTGTTTCTTGGTATAGTTCTAGTGTGTCCTATTTTGCCTTGTGTTTAAGGGACTGCTCTACAACTATCATATGGAGCAAATATATTTTCAGATAATTGTGATCTAATTATCCTATTTGTCAGCTACATGGGAAGATTAATTGCAAATGTAGTTTTTAGATTTTCATCTTGTTTGTTTCTGACTTAAGTGCCTCATCCATATTTTTATTCGTTGAACCTTTGCTTCTGCTAATCATATATTAATATTTCTTCATGTAATTAAGTACAAGTATTATGTTTATTTAGAACTACACTGTGTTTTCATTACTCTTTTAGTATATACAATGTATTTTCTTCCTTTACAGTCTAAGTACAGTTTTATTCAGCATTAGTTAGATTAGCTGATTGTACAATTGAACATTTTCGTCTTCTTAGTCAATAAAGTATTTGTTTTATATGAACTTCAAACTGTATTATGTCTGTGTCATTCCAACTACATCAAATCAATACACCTGTCCTTCCATATACAAGGTCTACAAATTTCTAGTTATTGCAAAAAAGTAGGTAAATTTCTGAAATAACATGGCTTACACAATTGAGACAATAATTTTGATGCCATCATCCAGGATCCATTTATTGTGAAAGTAGTATTGGATTGGGCTCAATTTCCCCTAATTATTTCTCTCTTGTGCTTCTTGTAAGATACTGTCAAAATGATTGATGCCTCTATGATTTGGTAAGACCTGTGACAGGGAGGAGAAGAGCAAAACTGATCTTAGGGTGAGATTTGAAGACCACTGATTGATTTGGAGGAGTCCTTTGTTGAGAGCTGAGTGCTATCTAGTTCGTAAACAGTTATTTCAGAATGTCCCACTCTGTCTGCCCACCAAGGAAACTGAACTGCAATCTGGTCCATCCATAATCACTGTTTATGTCTGCTATTCTTATGCTAATCACCTAAGCCTATGAACGATGGTAGAAAGTTGCTGAGAAAAGGTAACAAACTGTGTTATGCTGTGACTCTGGAACCATTTGTAAAGCAAGATACAGTCTAATGTCACTAAATCTCTACACTGAATGGATTTCTTAAAAACAGATAGAGATGAACTACAATGGGTGGACAGTGTTTACTAACCTTACTTGCCTCCTGGCTGCATGGATATTATCACTTTCACTGTGTGAAGTATTCATTATGATAAGAGGAAAAGTGTTCATGACCTGCATTACCAAGACCTTTGTGCTCATGCAGTTTGATGTCCTAAAAAGTTATGTGCTACTGTTGTTACAATTATGACTCATGCACTACACGAGCTGCAGTTCTGTGGTGAAATGATAAAATGTTGACTAAAGTATACATAAAAGCAGTGGACTACACAGCTTTATGTAGATGATGAAAATATGATTCCATCTAGTACAAAAGTGAACATGGTCAGAAGTTGCACCACCAACTTATGTTGTGGTTGAAGTAACACCTCAAACATATTGTTTTGTTTTTTTATACAGAATGAATCCCTGCTTGCTTAGATGGTTATTTATCCAAATTCAAGATGTGTTCCAGTTATGGTTTGTAATTATGGTAAGCAAGCAATAGAGATACTGACTAGAATGATCATTGGTACAATGCATGAAGGAAAATTGACCAAAACTAGCTTTTCAACTAGGGTTACTTCAGCCACACCACATCAACAGATGTCTGTATGTTTGCTTTGCTCATTGAAGATTGTTCACGCAATCTAAACCAGCAAAGAAAACACAAAGTTACTCACTGGAAAAGGCAGCTAGCTGGGAAGAACAAATATCATTCAGTATCATATAGATACCAGAGATGAGTGTCCTGTAAAGCAACTGCCACATAAGCATCACTGAAGCATCACAGATATAGATAGTACTTTGATAGACTGAATTCTAAAGAACAGAATTACTCAACCTTCGGCAAGTAATTATTAGAAAGAACAAAAATGAGGTATGCCAAGATTCCTTCTGATTACAGACAGGTGAATACTATAAGGTGCATCACCATGTACAGATGACTATCTTGCTTGTTGGAAAGATCCCACTAGTTTAATTCACAAACTATTTCTTCTGATTAATTCCAAGTACAACAAGACAATGAAAGCAAAGTCAAGACTACTTTAAACATTCAAGAAGTGTAGTATGAGTTTTATGTCTTACCATTTGGCCTCTGTAACGCACCATCTATTTTCCTGAAAATAATGGCACTCACATTATCTTGCTTTCATTAAGAATAGTGTCTTGACTTCATTGACAACATTTTTGTGTTTAGGCACATATTTCAAGAGATGGTTGAAAACCTGGGCATGATATTTTAGTATATGTGACAATCCAAAAACACAATCTGAATGCTAATGCCTACTGGAGGAAGTTGCTGTGAGAAGAAGAAATCCCTTGCAGTCATGGTAGTTGTGAAGCACTTTCACCACTCATCATAAGCTGTACAACTGTCATATGGGTCAGAAATGTTTTCAGATATGTAGATCGAATTTTCTGATTGGTCAGTTACCAAAGGGGAGATGAAATGTAAATGCAGTTTTGGCATTTTCTGATAAATTTATTTCTGACTTGGAAGACTATGACTTTTTTATGTTTCTATCTTTTAACTATTTCTTTTGCTGTTAATTTTTCTGGGTTTTTTCAAGACCAAAAGAAAAGGAAATTCTATAATCTGAGTGCTTTTAAAGGCGGACCTTTTTTCATCAGGACCAAGATTAAAATATCTAAGTTAAATAAAGTGTCAAAAAAAGTGGAGTGATGTTATGGTTATGCAAGGTAGACTATCATGACAATCTTTTGAATAGCTTTGAAAGAAATGTTGCAGGTGTGACTAATTTTAATTTTGCAAGACAACAGGAAGTGAAAAAGTTAGATATAGAGGTTAGAAAAGTTTTGTTTAAAAAAGTTTAACTTAAAAAGGAAACTAAGATAAAGATATGGTATGAAAGTCTGTTACCAAGATGTTAAATGGAAGGATTAAAAAATATAAAATAAATATGAAAATTATTGTAAATAAATAATAAGTATTATGAAAGATTAGGGTTAAAAGTAAAGATGGAACTAATTAATGGTCAGAGATCACTAATCCCAGGATCTAGGTTTATTCCATGAGGTTGAATGATATTTAAAATACTGATCCAATAGGCTTCTTTCATTTCTTTATCAGCTGTAGTTTTGAAACCAGTTTTAATACCTATCAGAATCACATTAATAGAACGACTAGGTTGGTTGAAGTGTTGGACAACAGGAAGGTCTTTTGTGGTGTTAATAGAAGATTTATGGTTGTTTAAATGCTCTCTAAGAGTCATTTTGGTTTGTCCTACATATTGGTGATTGCATTTTTTACACTGTATGAGGTAAATGGTGTTGTTCAAGTAATTTCTTTAATAATTTTTAAATTATTTTGGTCATATTTGTCAGAAAAAGAGTTAGAAGTTTTTTTTGAATTTGTAAGTTAGACAACATGCTTTATTGCACAGATGTCAACCATTCTATGGTGGTTTGTAATTCACTTTTGCTTGAATAAAGATATCTTTAACATTTCTGCTTCTGGTAGTAGACAATGGAAAATTCAGGAAAACTGCATCTTAGGTGATCATTCACCTGAAGTAAATGGAATTTTTTTGTTTTTTAAAGAATAAATGAAACATTTCTGAGTTTAAAGTGATAGGTACTAACATAAAGAATTGTGTTTGATACTTTTGTATTATACTGTTTAAGGATGGGTTTTCAATGGGTGTTGTTAACTTTTTCTCAATATACCTGTCAATTTCAATATCTTTATAGCCTTTTTGTAACATGGTTTGTTTTACATTCTTGGTGTTTTCTGTAATCTATGTCAGAGATACAAATTTTTTGATTCAGAGTGCTTGACTGTAGGTAAAATTATGTTTAATGTGGGTGAGGTGTAAGTTTTATAGTGAAGATATTGTGGTCTTTCAGTATCTTATCTTTCTCATTCCACTTGCAACAGGTAATTCACTACCAATAATCTTATGTTTGTAATTGCAGGCTTTAATTTCTATTTTGTTAAATGCAGTTTCTTCAGTCTCTTTGGGTTCTAAATACAGTTTTATTCAGTTCTTTTTATTCTAATCTTAAACTCAAGAAAACAACAGTCAAACACTTGTTCTATATGCCAGTCTTCAGTTTCTTCTTTTTTTCAGTCAACCTCACACTGTATATAATCTCTCCCATTCCACCTGCAGCACATCACTTATAGTCCTTTTGATTGTTAAGTCTAAAATCTCCAGTTATTGTGAAGGTACTTGTGATTTTGTTTATCCTTGGAATATTACATTTTCAGTTATGTAAAAAGTGATCAGATTGAATAAAAGTTACATAATCATAGCAGACTGTTGCAGATTGTCTAGTATCTCAAAGAGTTGTCAGTATGATATTAAACTGCTTCAAAGTTAATGATGCAGTTGCTCAGATACTCAAAGAAGGCAGATCATCACACACATTATAAGCAGATAATCACTGTTCACCAACTGTGGTTTGTCATAATTCATTAAAATCAGTTGCACTTCACCCTGTAGCTATTAACAGGTGTACATTTATTTGGAAAGAATCTGGAACCAGTTTTGCCCCATTTTCAAATAGATTTGTGATGCATATGATAGGGTGGAAGTATGGTTTGGGAAGTGTAATGAACTAAACAAAACACTGCTACAACTAGGGTCAAACAAAAATAATTAATTAAATATAACAGAAATATAAAAAAAACTTTCTAACAACTAAAATACAAATTTTATCACTTACAAAGAACAATTAGTGAACCCATGCCTGTCCAGGAATAGATACAAATGTTAATAAACAATACAACAGAAATCTCAATGTGAAAAATTTCAATAAATATGAAAGGAATTAGGAAAATGAACCAGAAGAATAAACAAACCTAATTCACCAGAGAATAACACAATGTTTCAAAATTAAAACACTTCTCACTATCAAGAACAATATCAAGCAATAATTAGCAATAATGTTTTCTAACTATATCTCGTGAACTAACTCGTTTTCAAGATAAAGGAAAGTTTCATAGTTGAACTAAATGATAGAAGGAATAATAAATGAATGTTAAAGAAAACCATAACAAAAATAAGAGTAGAAAATGCTATCTCACAGCAGGAATAAGGATTGGTAGAATGGTACCATTAGCGCCACAGTTTAAAAGGATCACATCCTAAGGCCCTTTTCTAGTACAATTAGTTTAAACTGTACTTAATTAATGATAGTGTTCACTCTCACCATGCTAAGCTAATAGTTATAATGCCCTTCACTTGAATTTTCCATATTCTATCATTTTCACACATGCCATTTAAGCTACACTTTTTTGCAGACATTATGTGTTAGATTGATAAATCCTGGTCTGTTTGAAAAAATTTTATGCAGTCAGACAGACAAACAACTCATCTAGACATAACTTTCTTTAATGAAATTACACGTATGTAACTTTATTTAATAAAATTACACATAATATAAACAGTAAAGTAATGGTATTTGTAATAGTGTACAGAGTATGAAACAATTATGAGTATTCAGTATATGACACAGTTTTACAAGTTGAAACAAAGAAACTCACAAAAACAAAGAATAAAACCTGTAGTAAAGAAAAAAGTAACTAAAAGTTGTTTATAGCAATCTATGAAATGAACCGAAGCTAAATTATTGCAAAGTAAAGTAAATGTAAAGTTGTAATGAAAAAAAACTTAGCTGAATATGCAGAAATGTCTCAATGCATGTTCACAAAGTGATAACCATATAATTCTGAATGAACTGCAAGCACTTATTTTAGACCTAAATAAGTCGAGAGAGTCCATAGAAATTTTATTTACTGTAATGTTCATTTTTTTAAAAGAAGTTACATGTGGATTAAGTGTTAATGTGAGATACTTTGCAAATAACAAAACTAAAGTTGAAATCGAAGACTGTTGTCACATGATGACAATGACATTGTGCCATTGTGTACCATACTCATTGCACTGAAAAGTTAGACTAAGCAAAAAATACAGGTAAGGTGATCCTGAATTGAAAAGCCAATACGCAATCTGGACTCCTCAGACAAAAGCCTTTCTAATGTTTTGAGATTTGTATCATTTGATTGAGAAATTTGCAAGAAAGGTTGCAAAGATATTATTGATATAAATATCTTCAAAAATGTTAATAATTTCATGTTATCATGTTGTTATTATTTTTCAACAGCTTCCATATTTATTGCATTATGGAAAAGAAAACAGGCACAAACTGCATGGGAGTGGAATCTCTCAGGTGTTGAACACACTCTTGTAAGTGTTTACTGCCTGTGTTTGGACATAACATGTGTGTTCATATATTTCTCAGATTTTTCTTAAGTTATTGCAAATATTTATGTATATCTATAGTACTGGTAAAAAGTTTGAATCCAAGATACAGTATCAATATTCAAGTTTCCATGCAATGTTACTAAAAAAAATTTTGGTTTACAAGTGTTATATACAATTAGTATTAAGCATGAAATGCTCATTTTTAGAACACAAGTATAATAATCAATATTTAATTTATTAATATCTTTTCTGTCTTTAACTGTATGAAAACATCATTTTTGTGAGGTTTTTAACTGGTATTTCTTGCCATTTTTGGTGTAAAATATTCTACTTAGTTGTCATAAGGTATTTGACTTTTCTTTTGTAACATTACACAACCTTGTAACTGGTGCCACAAATTTTCCATTGATTAATATCGGAACATTTGGTAGGTGGGTATCTTTTGTATAATTATCATGCTGTAATTCAAAGCCAGGGGCATTTTAATCTTATTCTTTGGTTTTACTGATACTGATTCAAAATTCCTAGAGTAATATAATTTTACCGTTTACTGTTAGTTTCTCAAGTCCCAGTTGCATCAAAACTCTAATATGCTTTAAGCATTACACTGTTCAGTTTTCTTTTTATTGTATATAACAGTATGTTATTCCCTTTCTTCTCTGCTTAATTCTAAATTACTTTTCTCAGTTTTAGCCATGCTTTATAAACTTGCAAAGTCTGTGTATGTCATCAACACATCACAGGGCATTCACTGTAGTTGAACACAAATTATTATTTTCAGTTGCATCTCAGCTTATGACTGGAACCATTAACAGAAAATTCACATAATAAAGTCCTTCTTAAGTACCTAGCATTTACAGATGCTTTTGAAATTCTGTATGTTTGATTTATTTCATGTTGAATGCAATGGCTTCTTAGTGCATCACGTTAAAACAAACTTACTGTCTTGTTTCCCTTTACTTAGAATAGGAAATTTCAATTAATAAATATATATTACAAAATCAATAAAGGATTGAAAAATATATTACATTTTAGTTATTTAATGGAATTAACTTTATTTGTTGAATGTCAGATGAATAAATAGTAACACTAGACAACAGAAAATTTGCTAATGGAGAAACCTCAAGTGATTCCAGGTTATTTTGGTGGTGCTGGCTTCAAAAATGTAGTCAGAATTTGTCCATCACCTCTAGATTTTGGGTTATTATAATATCTCAATATTTTATCAGCACTATGTGAAATGCCATGCAATCAACTTAGTACAATAGATTTATGCTGTGAAATTAAGTTTACTTAGATAGTTTAATGAGTAAAAGGCATACATTTTTGATAACTTTAATCACTGATTGTATTGTATTGGTGTAAAATTCCAAATATATTTTTCATGTATATATACTATTTGTTCTTGATATATTTGTAGCATATTGCACCACTTTTGCTTCATTTCCATGCACACCTACTCCACCCAAGAATCACAAAACCCTCACATGCTCAGTTTGCTAGAACATTCGAGAAGTCCCTTGACTAAGCATAAAAGGGGCAGAGTCAGATGCCTCTCTCTCAGTTGGCTCTCACTCCCTCAGTTGGTCACTTTACCTTACTCCGCACACAATCAAAACAAAGTCCGATCTTCTTCCTCACATCATACCCATGATATAATAAAATTCTGCAAAACTTTGTTTTTTAAAACCATTTAAACTCTAGTTCTATAAACATAAATTATTTTATATGTGTTTTAATTATTTGAAATGCTGGCTCCTCCAGTTAAAGTAAAGTCTCAAAGTGCAAAAATCACCCAAACAGTTTCTGCTACATTTGTGGAAAATACACTACAGTTTCACAAAGGAAAAACATCACACTCAAGGTAAAAGTAGCTTTATACCACTATTTTGGGTGTAAAGTTGGTGACCAAGAAAAAAATTGGGCTCCACAACTGTGTTGTACAATTTGTACATCTGGCTTGACACAGTGGCTGAATAAAAAGAGAGCAAGTATGCCATTTGCAGTTCCATCATATAGCATGAACCCAAAGATCATGTAACTGAATGTTATTTTAGCATGACTATCGTTTCTGATATTCAGGCAAAACTAAGCAGTACATTAAGTATCCAGATATTGCATCTGCAATTAAACCAGTACCTCATGGGGATGGTCTTCCAGTGCCACATCCACCAGCAAATTGGGAAACAGAAGAGTTATTCTGCAAAGAAGACAATAAATCATCTTCATCTAGTAATTCAATTCCTGTGGCAATTCAACATAAGCTGCCTCATCTGAATGCACAAGAATAACTAAATGATCTGATTTGTGACTTGTCTCTATCAATGCAGCATGGAGAACTACTTGACTCTCATTTACAGCAATGGAATATATTAGCTCCAGTTTCAATTTACTGAAGTCACCATCAAAGTCCCACTTCTTGCTATAGCAAACAAGATACTTTGTGTTTCTGTACAAGTGTTGATGTACTAATGAAAGAATTAGGAACTGAACATCATCCTCAAGTTAGTCTGAAAGATGTTCTATTGTATAATGGGAATACTAAGCCATCGATTCCCGTTGCTCTTGCTGTGAACATGAAAGAAACTTATCAAAGCATGCAGATTATACGTTCTTAAATGCAATTTTCAATGAATAAATATAGGTATTAAAGAAAACATTATTTTCATGATATATATAATAATATTTTGAAAAAATCTATCATAACTGGAAAACTAGAAGTGAAGAATAGTTTCAACGTGATTTTTAGAATCAACATCATCAAGTTACTCACAAAAAGTTGTATTTTTTTCTAGTAGCAGAGAAAAACATTTTTGTTGCCCAGTGTAATCATATTTGAAATTGAATTAAAATGACTTGTAGTTTATGAAACCATGTTTATAATATTTTCTTCTTTAGAAAATATTGTGCTTGTATTTTATAGCTATTTCAATGTTTTACTTAGGTTCAACGTATCTAATTATGAAACATATAATTTCTAATACTCATGTAACAAACCTCTTAGTTATAATAATATACTTGTATTGCTAAGATGTTTTAATTAGGAAATAAATGTTATATTTTTATAATGGGTCAAATGAAGGTAGTTTGTTTGTACAGAATATGAATTCAAATTTTAGTATTTAAGTTTAAGGATTTTTGTAGTTTTTAAAGACACCATTGTTATTAAAATTATGTTGAAATAATTTTAAACAACAGCTCTCTTGAATTTCAATTCCATTTTTTAAAGTCAACACATCTATTATAAATGTATTTCAAATGTAATTTTATACTTGAAATAGTAAGAACAGTATATTCAACTTTCCAACAATACAGCTTATTTTCATATAAAAACAAAGCTATTTTCACAGTACAATGTATTCTTTATCAAAAAGCAAAACTTAGAAGTTATTTGATATTCTATTTAAACTGTAGGAAATAGTTCGACCAGAATATGAAGCTAAAGTATTCACCTACAAACTAAACCCTGTTACAATGGTAAGTAATTTTATATATATGTATGTGTATATAGTATGCTACTCATTTACAATTTACAAAATGAAGAGCCTATAAAAAATTATTTTTACTAATAAGTTTCTGTTATTTTATATAACATATTGAACAGTGATATGATACTGAAAAACCTTTTTTAAATCTACAAATGTATTATGTGCACAAGTTACAATGATAAAGTACTGCTTTCAGTTCTTCTGTATAATATCAGGCACATAATGATCTATCCAATTGGGTTCTGTATTTTGGGACATAAACCAAAAACCTTCTATTTTTATACTAATTTTACAATAATCTTTCTTATGCCATATCAGTTATTATACTTAAGATATGGATAATGACTAAAGTTCTAGTATATTTTAGATTATGAAGCAGATCAGACCAGTGGTGGCTTACAACTCAAAAATGAGATTCTGTAAGGATATAATGAAACAAATTAGCTTTTATCTGATTCTAAGTAAATGACACAAAAGTACCTAGACAGAAAAAGTGTTATAATAAACAGAACAACCTTAGCGTGTATGTATGTGCATATATATACACACACATTATGAACTGCGATATGATGTATTTCTTTCAGGTATAAAAAAAATCTCTATACAATCTCCTTTTTAAAGCAGAGTATTTGACAACTGATGTTTTTAATGAAATATTATAGGTAGATCCTGAACTATAGTAAAAAACTGATTATATCAAGGCAGGAGGAATACACCACATTAGTGCTTAAAATCTTAGCTTTCAAGATACAGAATTTTATTTGCTATAAATTAGCATAAAAGAAATTACTCTAGCAATTCACTGTCTATCAGCTACATGCATTGTCAGTGAAGAAAGTGAGCAGAGAAAGAGAATGTGGTATAAACTGTTGTTTAGTAGCCTTTAGAGAAATATTGATCTAGTATCTGGCTGACAGTAAAGGATACCTTAAATTGCATGATGTGATGTATTCAGATAAAAATCAGTTAATCTTAGAGCAATGTGACAGGGCCACTTAATAACGGGAAGTCATAGAAGAATTTATTACAAAGTAGTGCTAAGTCTCTGAATAATTGAGTTTGTGAAAGCTGTTCATGTGACTAGTCATTCTCATTCAGACATAGAAGAAGCTGTAACCTCGAGATACCACCTGAATTACCACTGTAGGAAACTAGTTATTGACATTTTTGCACAATGTGCAGCATTACATCTGTGCTTCCTATGTTAAGAGCAGGTGTAACCTCAGTAGAATGACAAGGAATGAAGGCAGCTATATATAATATAACATCGACTTAACAACTTTTTTGACCATGTATTATGTGAAACTTGCACATATACAGAATACATGATAAATTTAGGATAATACTGTATTGAAATATAAGAATGTATAAACACATGGTATACCTATATACTGCAAGGAACAAAGATTTTTTTTATTCCTGTAAACTCCCAGTGGAGCATAGGGCCGCAACAACACCTCGCCAACGGAAGGTGTTGTTGCAGTTACTTGTAGCAGGTTGGTTTTTATAGGGTGGAGTTGCTAGCCCCGCGCCCAACCCTCCTCCTTTCTCATCCTGGACTTGTGACTAGGCAAAGGTGGAGGTTGGCATGTTTGGTGTGACGGGGATTTGAAACCGCGACCCTCAGATTACGAGTCGAGCGCCCTAACCACCTGGCCATGCCAGGCCCGAACAAAGATTAATATTATCTAATGATAAGTGAATTTAAATCATGAAAAGGCAGTGGAAATCTCTATTTAAGAGAAACTTAGAAACCATATACTCATAAATAAATAGTAGCAAAATATTTCTTGTTATTTTAGTGATATGTTTTTATAATTCTTATTCATGAGACCCTTCTTTACTAGTAAAAAGTGCAAACTTGTCTGAAGATGCCTAGTAGGATATCTATTAAGTTAATTCTTTGACAGTTATGTTTTACTTACATTCTATTGTTCAGGTGTTTAATACTATACTTCTTCACCTTACCTTTTGTACACAGAATTTTAAAGTATGTCTAGCTTTTTTAATCATTATTAGTTTTTTTGTCAAATATTTCACCTTATTTTTATGCTGCACACTTCTGGTAGATTATCTTTCTTTATTTCTTTATTGTCTCCTTAGGAAAGGAAATGGGTCAAGTTAATTTAGTGCTGGTTGTATCTTTATTTAAGTAGTATTGTTTTTGTATCAGATGCTACATTTAAACTGACAGGTTATATCACTAGAATCTCCATTTCCATCCTTTCACAATTTATCTGTTTAATTGTTTGATTCATAGTTTTTGTGGAACTCTATACTGACCGGCCAATTATTAAGACCACCCTTTCACAAACACACATTTTAAAATGACTTATTTATTTATATATGTAAAATACACTTATCAATAGATAATTCATGTAGCTGCTTGAGCCTACACTCCTCAGAGATGCAGTCATATCATGTTTAATTAATGTGCAAGATACTGAATAAAAGCAAATATCTCTCCTAACTTCTAAAGAGCATCATACTGGATGACCATCTAGCAAAAGCATTGTTAAAAAAACAAAAACATGTTATTGGCTGACTATTAAAAAAATCTGTCATCAGAATCTATTAACAGTGCCAATCAAAGAGAAGTATGTCTTTGCCACAAGTAAAATTGTGGCGGATAAGAACTGATGACAGGCAAAGGGAAGAAATTGTTACATAGTTTTGTAAAGCATAATAGACATCAGGGGATGTCTCAGTTGAACATTGTTTTCAACATTGTTCAAAATTTGAATTCTTCTAAATGTACCTTGTGAAGGATATTATAAAATCTGACGTATAGTAGCTGATAATAAGTCTAAAAACCACTTATCTCAAATGCAAACATGATTTTAGTGCTGGTTAAAGTAAAAACTTAATACACTGAACCACTGGAACCATGTGATGAAATCTGATGAGTCACTTTTCACCCATCACTGTTGTGTTGTTTCAATAGAGTGTGCTGCTAAAGATGGTACAATGATATGAGGAACATTCTCAAGGCAAGAGTTGGATCTTTTGATTACTTTAAATAATTAGTAACATCCAGAATATGCCTGATCATTGTCATCATTTTGTCCTTTCCACAATGCATTACCATCCTATGGATAAGAAAGTAGTATAACAATTGCTGTACTAGTATTGTCCAGAATTGGTTTGAAGAAAATGACAATCCAACTGAGCACTTTGGTGATGAACTTGAATATGTATAACTCCCTACTAACATATGGGAACCAATTGCAGACCATACTCGTTAATGATTAGGCTACAATTTAACAAGACATCATGTGACATCTTGTGGAGTCTATGCTGTGCCAATACCTGTATCTTAATCTGTTTCCAGATTTTTAAACCAAAGATCATATCAGATGATTGGTCTGGCTTAGAATCTCAGTTTCACCTGAAGTTTTGGATTGATGAACTTAAGTTTCTTGTGTAAACCTTTTTTCTTAACTTTTTTAACAGGTAGGGTTATTCCATTGGACACTGATGATGTAGTCTCTCAATTCAAGTATAAGGGTGGTAATTTTTTATAATATTATTCTTTTGAGACCGTCAACGTTCTCTCTCGGGCCAGATATGTAGGCCACACACATTTAAAGTAATCATAAGCTTTCATTGATTAGCATGATAGAAATTGATATCTGATAGTTTAGGATTATTCAGCTCACTTCGTATGATTGTATATATAATTTAAAATAAATATTGCACACCACATTACTTACAATGTCTTTTAACTGTCAGAAAGATAAAACTCACTTTTAAAGTAATATTTAATTATAAGGAGTTTGTTGTTGTCAAAAGAAAATATAAATTATTATTGTTTCTCTCTGCCAGTATTGAGAGTTATTTTGTTTGTCACACAATATTACCATTAACTAATTTTGAAATCTCACCACTTAGTTTTCCTGCCTTAGGTTTGAGTTATGTCTTAAAGATGCTAGAAAGTCAGTTCAAAATTCATATTGTACTAGTCACCACAATGTACTTGAGAGCTAATAACATCTTGTAAAAAATTATGAAACATAACTTATATTTCTTTAACCATTTCTATAAACATTTGATCAAGACAAGTAAATAGTATCTTGACCACTACTATATCTGTTGTATTCTACCTGGTCAGATGAGGCCTGTATTGAGTGAAAGGCTCATTATCACTGGATAGGGCACATACAGTGTGAGAAATCTTGTTACATTCTTTCACTCATAAGTTCTCATAATTATATCCATTTTTAAATATAATGTTTGGATATGTATTAGTATGTTATTACAAATTGTTACTTTCTCTGAACTAATACCCAGAAACAAACAGAAATTAAATAACAGAGGAAGAGAGAGAGAGAGAAACAAGTTTATATACAAATCCTCACAATAATTGTTTGCAAAACAGTGTTAATACAGAAAAGTCAAATACAATAAGCATACTGCATATATGTTTCCAATAAGCTAAGAATACCTATATATACCATGTATTAAAAAACAAAAAAGTTTTTTAACTCCAAAATAAAAAGGACTGCCACTTTAAGCTTTCTTGCCTGTCTCTATGGTTAAGTAACTCAGATGTAATTAATTATTCCTTATTTTTGGGATGTGTTATTTAAAAAAAAAAAACAGTGGATGTTATTTGGAAAAGTTATTACTCTAAGTTTGTGTTCATTTGGATGGAATGTTTTTACACAAGCTAGATTTATCTTTAAACATGATAAGCGTATTGCCACTTTTTAGGGTAGCTGTACCACTTATATAAGATTTTACAATTATTTTTTTATGTTGAATGAAAAAAACTATACTTTCTATTTTGTATGAGCATCCACTAATGATTCAAGGATAAGCTAGATGGCTTATAACACTAGAATTCAGGGTTCAGTCCTCACAATGGTCAGAGTGCTCATTTGCAGCTTTTTGCTAAAGCAAAATTAAACTGTTCTTTGAAAATTTAGCATCTGAAAAAAAAAGTCATAACATTTTTTGCAATTGTAAAAAATGTTAATTTAAGTCTTTAAAGTTAGTAGGGTAGAGTAGAAAACTTAAAAGTTATGTTAGTTAAAATATTAACATTTTACATATATTTTTTTATGATTTGTGGTATTTAATATCTTTATATATGTTACCATAAGTTTTAATACCTTTTACATAAGACATACAAATTATAATAACTGATTTTGCTAGTGTTTAAATAATCAAAAGTAACAACAAACTGAATTATGCTATAACTTTTTCATTTAGATGTTTGAACCATTTTTACCTTCTTGGAGCAAAGTTGGTCGCATTGTTGGATCCAGTTCAATTGTATTTCTTTTGGTAAGCATACTGCATTTTGTTGGTTTTCATTAGGGATGCATGGATGCCCAGCTGGGTATTGGGCTACCTGGTAATACTCGGCTCTGGCCGAGTGTCAAAGTTAGCCATCTAAGCCCCAATCTTTGTGGAAACTAACACAGTACTGAAAGTTATAGTCAATAATTGGTTTAGTTTAAAAAACGTGTTCCGAGCAACAAAAACTTACCACCTGCTGAAAGTCGGGGATTCAGAGAACAGTAGGGGTTAATAACAGGCATGGCTTGAGAAGTGGATTTCTGGAGAAGGTGGGGGTTTTGAGAACAATAGGGGTTAGGGTTTGAGAAGTTGGTGGTAGGCATTGAAAGTTGAAAGTAAAACTTGAATGTTCTGTTGGTGATTAATTGGCTAAATGTAATAAGCATCAATTTTGTTTTTGTTTCTAATTTTTGTGTGTATGTTGTTGTTGTTGTTGTTTTTTTTGGGGGGGGGACAAGGGGAGAATCCAGTTTCGGTTGACACCCGGCCCCAGCCAAAGCTTAGTGACCAGGTACCCAGACCCGGTATTTGGCCAAATTTTACTACCCATGCATACCTAGTTTTCATAATTAATACTGTGGATATGAGATGGTAAATAATTATATTCATAATATTCTTTTATCAGTATAGTATTAAAGCTACAGCAGAATTAGTAGCTTAAACTTAACAAGAATTTTAATTTTAATAGCTAACATTATAATGTAGTAAATTTTATTTGATAATTTAATGTATGAGACCATACAGCAGTAATAACAACAATAAAACAATGAGTTTAATCTGTATTTACATTAAAATTTATTGAAAAATTAGCTTTAGCAAAATTTATAAATCATTTAGAACAGTCATCTACAAATTTAAAGCAACACTGTTGAATTTGAATTGATGAATTACAAAATAAGATGGCAGGTACAATTGATAAGAGGCAAGTTATGTAAATTATGAGTAACTAAATGAAAACTTTATTAGATAAATAAGAATCCAAGCAGTGAATTTCATCTTTTCATAATTATGAATAATAATTAATTTTGTTCCTCTAAAACTATAGATGTAATTTTTTCTTATTGTTTGATATAATATTAACACTAATATTTGTTTTCAATATTTCATTTACAGCTGCTCGCCGTTATGGGAGCTGTTTTTGGTGTGATTGTATATCGCATAATCATTGTAACATTGATGATTTCCAGTGAAACTATCTTTTGGAGAAATAATGCCAAAATTGTTACATCATTTACAGCTTCTCTTCTGAATTTAGTTTTTATTGTCATCATGGATATGGTAGGCAGAATTCTCTTTCTTTCTTAAATGAAGCCATTTAGTAGAATACATTTCTTTCCTCCCAACTAAATAGAGAGTTACACAATAATGTATTGTCAAATAAGTTTATCAAAATATTTTTATATAATAAATTTAGTGTTTATTTTGCAGGGTATCTTAATTTGTATTTGCATCATCTATATATATATATAGGAGGTTCACAAAAGTAATATATGTTTTGAATGTATGTATGTATCGACTTGACAGGTATTTTGGTTTAAAATCTATCAAAGGAGCTTGTTAAACAAACAGGGGTGTTCAGAAACTTTGTTTCTCTTCACCCCACTTGTGGAATTTTGAGTTGTTCTAAAGTGAAGTTGGAAAATTAACTAAAGTGAATAAAACTTTAAGTGACCAACTTGAGTTTAAACAGAGCAGTGT